AAACCAGGTACCTGCTCCCCCCTACCCCCCAAAAGGTCCCAAATGTGGCAGCGGAGTGGAGGAAAAGGCAGAAAAAACAGAGCTTCCACTTTTGGGTGGAACTCCGCTTTAAGAGCAAATATCAAAAAACATCAACACACAAAGGAAATGCCTGTTGATGCATTACAATGCACCTGCACCTAACAAAAAAAAAAACCCACAGCTCTACACACATAGATCTAAATGGTACCTACATGGGACGGAGCATTTGTACAGCTTTCCTGTTTTAAAGTGAACCTGTCAGAACAGATGTATGGGAGCTGCTATTGTTGTCTTGCTTCTGAAGGTACGCACTTCAAGGCTATAATTACTGTAGACAGTCACTGACCCAGAACAAGTGTGTGTACATCAGGTTTCCTGACACCTAAGAAGCACTTGATTCTTCCAGGTCACAGAATCACCACAGAGGGAAGGAAGTATAAGGATGAAAGCGTCTGCACCTTTTAAATAGAGCAATGGCACCTATAAGTCAGAGATGGCAGCATCCATAGTTATTGTCTGAGAGGTTACCTTTACATTTTGTGACTAGAAATGGGATTTATTGTTTTTTACTGCCAGCTTCACAGTTCAATAAAAGCCAATCTGTGGAAGGATAGCAAAGATTATATTATGTCCCAGGCCAGCAACAAATTTGCCCGCAACTGAATTACAAGACAGGTGCCACATAATGGGCATAGATTCAAGCAGGAGCGTATTTACCACAAGGCAAACAAGGAATTTGCCTAGGGCGGCATTTTTTCAGGGGGGCAACAGCATTTTGCAGGGGGGCAGCACCCCCCGAAAGAAGGGATGGAAGAAAGGACACACGCAACATGGGGACCAGGTGGGATCTGAGAGAGGCTGCAGGCTGCTTGATGGTGTATGCAGAGCCTGACTCTTGTTCCCGGGGATGTCCGGAGCTGTGAAGGGGAGCGTCTTCTCTCTCACGTGTGTGTGGGGCGGTGGTGGTAGTGGAAGTTCTCTCGGGTGGGGGGGCTGGCTGTTGGTAAATGTCAGGCTCTCATCGTGGGGGAGGGGGGTGTTTGTTAGTGACAGGGTCTCTCCGTGGGGGGGATTTTTGTGTTACCTAGGGCAGCACAAAACCTAAATACACCACTGGATGCAAGCCATGACCTTGGGCAGTGTTCACCAATTGTGTTTTTTTATATGCATTCCCTGCTTCTTGATCTTTGGGCAGTGCTGTTAAAATAAATATATTCACCAATATAATACAGGGCTACTAGCTAGCAGCAGCCGACTGTTAGTACTGCCCATCCATAACATCATAGACATCACAACATCCTACCAACCTCATTCTGCATACTACTGGACGGGTTGGTACCAATACTGAGAACATTCAATGACATTTCAGGTCCTAGGCTGAAGAAAAATGTATCAAATAATTGGAATATTACTGAACACTGTTGCTCTCAACTATAGTACCACAAATACAGACACCATATCCTATATACTATCTATATGAATTATTATAGTTGTGCCTGGAGTTTAGAATCAAAGTAAGAGCTCAAACTGAAAGTCAACGCTCTGAACCAATGGGACTCTACTGCAGTGCACATGTGCTGGCAGTACAAAGAACAAAATATGAGGAGGGATGATAGTGTGCTGCTTCTACTTCATTATCGAAGGGCCAGTTCAGACCACATGCAGTCCAGTGCGTTTTTTTTTTCTTGCATCAAAAACACATGGAAAGTAGCTAATATGGTTTCCAATGGCATAGCTTACACCAATGCGGTCAGTTCCAAAAAAAAAGTAAAACATGCAGCATTTTTCCTGCACAGGACAGTACTGGAATGCGATAAAACACATCAAAAACGCACTGGACCCCAGTACAGTGAAAAAAAAAACAAGAGAAAAGCATCTGGAAATGCAACAAAAACGCACCAGAATGCATCAAAAACATGTTCAAAATGCACATGCAGAAACGTATCCATGCATTTTTGTGGTGTGAACCAGCCCTAAAGTTGAATATACATGTATCATTTTTTTGTTCAGCCGACAGATTCCCCCATCCACTCAAGCGAGGTGGATGGTGGACTGTTCCCCCTATTGTATTCTGACAGCAGGACTCCTTGGAATACACCGAAATGGCTGCAGCAGGTGATGGAATGAACATTTTCCAATGTTCCCATTCAACAGAATTTGATCTACCGATCAACTTTTGTAGGACAGAGAGGGCCACACGTAGCACAAAATTTGTCCCGTTCCTGCTGAACTGTCTGAATTTTGATCTGTATGTACCCAGCTTTACCTTCAGAAGTAGGTGTTTGACAAATCTGTGCAGTCACTGCAGTGGTTGATGAAATAACTGCTTGCGAGCAGAGGGATCCCTAGATCACAAGAATAGATGAACAGAATTACAAATCATTTGGAATGCAAGACAGTTTTCATACACGTATATCAAATATCAAAACCTTAATTCTCTTTTTATGCCCCCTACAATTTTATAAGAAAAATCAAATGCATGTTATATTTAAGGTGGTACGGAGAACAAATGTGGAAGCACTGATTTGTGAAGGAGTCGTATTAGCAGTAATCTCTCGCACACTTCTTTAGGAATGGCTGGTGTGCGGTGCGATGCTGCAAGATAACAGCAATGCCAATGTACCAATTGTGGTGCATCGCACTGTTCACTTTTAGTTTTTAAACAAAAACTGACATTTCATTAAGTTCTAATGTGTTAGTTCACCTTTAAATAAGCTTATCACCACTGACGTAATGTTTAAAAAAAAAAAAAAAAAAAACAAACAAAAAAAAACAAACCAAAAAGCGCATTTTCACTTCAGTGGTACAATATTGCCTATTATGACAACAATTCATAGATATGTAAAGAAATTCAGGATACACAAGTAGAATTGTAACATTTATATTTGCACTAGATTTTGTTAATTCAATTGCAATGCAATTTGCAAAACATACAAATAAATAGCAAATCCCAAACAGTCAAATCTTTACACATCATAGCAAAACTTTTTTTTTTTTTTTTTTCTTTTTTAGACAGCTAAGGCTACATTCACACTGATGTTTAAGGCCAGTGCAAACTGTAGCAGCAGGAATCTTTTGATCCGTGCTGTGACTCTCAGGTTGACGGGGGGGGCCGCAGATAGTGATTACCTGCAGTGACAGTTTCTGAGAACACTTTGTGTGTGTCCAGCAGTGATCACCGCAAGGAATCGCTGGCTGTGCAGAGAGCTGCAAACAGTTTCTGCTGCCAGTGACTCGTCACTATAGTGAACAAGGCCAGCGGTCGCACCTAGCTGCTGAGAGCCACAACAGGAATCAAAAGGTTCCTGATGCTACAATTTGCACCGATCTTAATCGCTGGTGTGAATGTAGCCTTAAGCCCCATCTCTCCCATGTCTGTAAAAAAACAACTGAGACAGCTGAACAAGTATACACATCCCCTATTTTCTGTATATACAAATGTGTCAGCTGCACACACACATAGTCCGCCAACGACACAAGAAAATACATTTTGCGGTCAACCTCTGCTCCTCATCTTTCTTCCAACTCTCATACATACATTTTTCCTAAAAGGCCTCATTTACAAACAGTATAGAAAGGAGCAAGACTTCTGTGGCTGTTAGTCACAGGCTTTAGCACAAAGACATCTGTACAAATCAATGACAGGCTCCACCACATTTGAACAAGTTTACCAGGACATCTGAGTGGCGACAGGTGAACAGGGATGGGTGAGTGGCTTTGGCTTCTCATCTATACCTATACAGATCAAGTAAGCGTTCAGATGTGCATACAGCCATGGTGTCTGTCACTGACTTGGACAGACAGCCTGTGGCTGTGCGCAAACATCTGTGACTCCCGGGCACAGAAATCAAGCTTTTTGGTGTGCTGTATGGCCCTCTGCAACTGTGTGTATGAGGCCTTACAAAAATTTGGACAGGAAAGAGACAAAGTAGGTGTATCTATATAGCTTTAGAGTCCTGTTCATTCTTCTGCTATTTGGGTGGAGATAAATGCATGCAAAATTGGACATAAAAAGCAGTGATTTATGTCATTGTAGTGGCACTGTTCTGACCCCTAGTTTCTTCTTGCAGCTTTATTAGTGCCATGGACTACATTGTGTATTTGGTATCGTGTTTCTCATGCAATTATCTGCACAAAAATGCACATGAGAGAAGGTCTAAATTTATTTCTTTAATTATAGTACCCAAATTCACCAGAAATTGTATATGAATTAATGTAACAGCATAAAATAACTGAACATATGTAATCTGATGACTCCACTCATTTCTGTAAATCGGTGGATAAAAAGTTCACCACGTAATACTTCTCCATCCCGCCTAGAAATAGAATTTTCTTACAAAGTCATTTGGAGTGAGGTGCTGCGCTGACAAACTGACAGCCATCTGATTGTGACAAAATGTCAGGCGTCTGATAACACGAGTCTTGGCGGCATACATTAGCATGGTTAAGACAGAAATATGGGGCTGGCAACCTTCTGAAAATGCCAGTTGTCGGTTTTTCTCTGGCTTCGACACATAAACAGAAGTGTGAAACAAACGAATGTCAGAATCCTAATCTCTGTACAGTGGTTTAGTTGTTTAGTTGCATTTTTTCCTAGCAGCACTAAGGTTCTTGGTCTGAATCCAAACCAGGATACTGTCTGCATAGAGTTTGCATGTTCTACCTGTGCTTGTATGCGTTTCCTCCAGTTGCCTCCCACACCCCAAAAAAGACATACTGGTAAGTTAATTGATTCTGTCCAAAATAGGCTAGTAGTAAGGCATTCTAGTGAGCACGCTGAAGATGGATGCCCCAACAGCAAATAAAGCACTTTAAATCCCCAGGGAAAATAAACACTATAAAAATATAAATAATAATATATTTGTTCCAGCTTAGTAATGCAACATATTGAAGCCAAAGCATCAGCAAAACAGCCAGACAATTAGCATTCTCAGATTGGGCCAGCCATCACACCTACATATTTCTCTCAAGTTTTTTTTTTAGGTGTCAATCTTGATGAAAACCTTAGGACGGGCAAATATTTTGATGGCCTCCTCAAGTTCAGAAAGTTTTTTGTCCAGCTCTGTGCGCCGGTTCTGGATGCTGAGGGTATCTGCCCGGACTGGGAGCATCAGCAACTCCTTGGTCAGCTGGGCCTGAGTCTCCTTCAGTTTATTGAGGGTGTCCAGCCTCTCTTGCTCTGGCATCTTGGTGTGACCAGGAGGCATGGAGGGGTCTGGAGCCTGCTTCTTCATCTCCTCCTTCTCTTTTAGCCACTGCTCCTTCAGATCCAGAAGATACTGGGGAACATGCCCCTTCTGATTGGTGTCGTACTCCTTCTGCTGCCGCTGTTTGTCTTCCAGAACTTCATTTAATGTTTGCATGGACCTGGAGCGCCTGATCTGCACCTTCTTAGCGTTTCTAGCATTGTGGGACACAAAGTCAATGCTGGAGCCATGGACTTCCATAGCGTCCCTGGCACTGGGAGGCCGGCTCGGTCCTGGTGAGCCGGGTCTCTTAGGTGGTACCCCAGAAACCACAGCGGGAATGGGATTTGAGGAAGCAGGCGGGATTGCTGTTGGGAGATGATGGAGGCTCTTGAAGTTTAGCCTTCACCTTGGACTCCACATTCTCATATTTAGAGGACTTCCAGAGAGCTTTGACTGGCTTTGGTGCCCCCTGTTCCCGGTCAATCTCCTTCTCCCGGAAGCGTTTCTGGATCTCCCTCATCCTGCGTACGTTCTCTTTACCGTGGTCCCTGCTCTTTCTTGGGGAGGAGGACTGCGGCTGGCTGTGGAGGGAGATGCCCTCCAGTCGTAGCAGGACCCCCACGCTTCCACTCTGGCCCCGATCCAGGATTTCCCGGGCGTTGGGGCGGATTCTGGGGGCAGGATGGGCAGGCCGGGCAGTGTAACAGGTCGGGTATAAGGTGGGGTCTGGGGCCAGGGGCCCAGACAGGAAATCCAGCTTGAGCTGGGTGCCTTCCAGCCTCCCCCGGGCCGTCTCGGGTCGCCTGTAGCAGTCTGGGAAGAGAGTGGGGTCCGGGGGGATGGGGCCCGAAATCCTGGAGGCTCCTTCACACATATCGCCGGTTAGACCGATGTTCCTTCCGAGACGATTCTTCTATCGTAAGCCTCACTATCACAACTACCGATTACAGTTAACACGCCACGCTCGTCTCCATAGAGACCGCCACTTCTGCTTCCGCCGCGGGGGATCACGGGAGTTGTAGTTCTATGGGTGGGGGTGGCGTTCCCTCACTACTAAGTAACAGTCCTAAGTGTTGTATGATTTCTCCTTATGGAGGAGAGGCTTTTCTCTCAGGAATTTCCACACTGCCTTCAGTTCCTGCATGAATTGTCTAGAAGAATCGGAGTCATGTGACACCCAGCTCTGGAACGGCCATGCCTGGGGAGGGCTCTCTGAGGACTGGAGCTCTGCCTGTACAATGAAATATAAAATCTGGTTTTTATTTTGTATGAGGTCCATTCTCATTGAATTCATGCCTTGAGGGAAATGTAGTGGTGCAGAGGGAGGGGCCTGTACTACAGGGGGTGTCTATACTGGGAAGGATCTGAGTGGGCGTGTATATTGAAGGGTTGGCTGGGGGGAGGAGTATGTATTGAGGGGGGTTTGTACTGGGGGAGAAAATGGAGCTGTTGGGGGAGAGCAGTACTGTAGGGGAGATGGACCTGTGAGGAGCAGTGTGTCATTTCCGGTTGAACATTACACCGCGTTCCAAATTATTATGCAAATTCTATTTAAGTGTCACAAAGATTAAATATTTTGTTTTTCAGTGTAACTCATGGATGGCATTGTGTGTCAGGGCTCTTTTGATCACTGAAAACAATCTCGGACACCTGTGATAATTAGATTGGCCGGTGAGCCCAATTTAAGGAAAAACTACTAAAGGAGGGTGTTCCACGTTATTAATCAGAGCACCATTTTCAAGCAATATGGGGAAGAAAAAGGATCTCTCTGCTGCCGAAAAGAGTGAAATAGTTCAATGCCTTGGATGAGGTATGAAAACATTAGATATTTCACAAAAACTTAAGCGTGATCATCGCACTATTAAGAGATTTGTGGCTGATTCAGAGCACAGACGGGTTCGTGCAGATAAAGGCACATTGCGGAAGATTTCTGCCAGATCCATGCATCGGATCAAGAGAGCAGCTGCTAAAATATCATTACATAGCAGCAAACAGATATTTAAAGCTGCTGGTGCCTCTGGAGTCCCACGGACATCAAGGTGTAGATTCCTCCAGTCTTGCAACTGTGCATAAACCTTCTATTCGGCCACCACTAACCAATGCTCACAAGCAGAAACGGCTGCATTGGGCAGAAAAATACATGAAGACTAATTTTCAAGCAGTCCTGTTGACTGACGAGTGCCGTGCAACCCTGGATGGTCCAGATGGATAGAGTAGTGGATAGTTGGTGGATGGCCACCCTGTTCCAACAAGGCTGCGACGTCAGCAAGGCGGTGGTGGAGTCTTGTTTTGGGCCTGAATCATGGGAACAGAGCGGGTCGGCCCCTTTAGAGCCCCCGAAGGTGTAAAGATGACCTCTGCAAAGTATGTGGAGTTTATGACTGACCACTTTCTTCCCTGGTACAGAAGGAAGAACTATGCTTTCCGTAATAAAATCATCTTCATGCATGACAATGCACCATCTCATGCTGCAAAGAATACCTCTGCCTCAATGGCTGTTATGGGGATAAAAGGAGAGAAAGTCACGTTGTGTGGCCTTCATCCTCCACTGACCTCAATCCTATTGAGAACCTTTGGAGCATCCTCAAGCAAAAGATCTATGAGGGTGGGAGGAAGTTTACATCCAAACAGCAGCTCGGGGAGGCTATTCTGACATCTTGCAAACAAATTCAAGCAGAAACTGTCCAAAAACTCACAAGTTCAATGGATGCAAGACTTGTGCAGCTGATATCAAATAAGGGGTCCTATGTTACAATGTAACGTGACCTGTTAAAAAGTTAAAATGTTGTTAAAGGTTTGATTGAAATAGCTTTTGATTTCAGTAAATATGCTGCAAACACAACAAATGACAATTTTCAGTTCTTTACAACCTATAAAGTGTTTTGAAACTTACTGTGCGTAATAATTTGGAACAGTGCATTGTAAGTGTTTTATGTTTAAAAAAAATACTGTTATCATTAGGAGGTTTGTTCAATAAAATGTGAATTGTACTCTTAATAGTTGATAACATGAGAATTATGCTGACTGTTATTTACATCAATTATTTAGGTAAATGAGAAAAATATCATTTGCATAATAATTTGGAACACGGTGTAGTTTGTACACTATGTACATCTCACCCCTTCACTGTGTGCATAACAGCCTCTTGACCCTTCTCTTCTGTGTAATAACCACACCTTTGCATCACACACGCCTGAGGCCCGCACTATAAGCGTCACCCGCTCCTGAGCCCCGCACTATAAGCGTCACCCACTCCGGAGCTCTGCACTATAAGCGTCACCCGCTCCCGAGCCCAGCACTATAAGCGTCACCTGCTCCCGAGCCCCGCACTATAAGCGTCACCCGCTCCCGAGCCCAGCACTATAAGCGTCACCCGCTCCCGAGCCCAGCACTATAAGCGTCACCCGCTCCCGAGCCCCGCACTATAAGCGTCACCCGCTCCCGAGCCCCGCACTATAAGCGTCACCCGCTCCCGAGCCCCGCACTATAAGCGTCACCCGCTCCCGAGCCCAGCACTATAAGCGTCACCCGCTCCCGAGCCCAGCACTATAAGCGTCACCCGCTCCGAGCCCCGCACTATAAGCGTCACCCGCTCCCGAGCCCCGCACTATAAGCGTCACCCGCTCCCGAGCCCAGCACTATAAGCGTCACCCGCTCCCGAGCCCAGCACTATAAGCGTCACCCGCTCCCGAGCCCAGCACTATAAGCGTCACCCGCTCCCGAGCCCAGCACTATAAGCGTCACCCGCTCCCGAGCCCAGCACTATAAGCGTCACCCGCTCCCGAGCCCCGAACTATAAGCGTCACACGCTCCCGAGCCCAGCACTATAAGCGTCACCCGCTCCCGAGCCCAGCACTATAAGCGTCACCCGCTCCCGAGCCCCGCACTATAAGCGTCACCCGCTCCCGAGCCCAGCACTATAAGCGTCACCCGCTCCCGAGCCCAGCACTATAAGCGTCACCCGCTCCCGAGCCCAGCACTATAAGCGTCACCCGCTCCCGAGCCCCGCACTATAAGCGTCACCCGCTCCCGAGCCCCGCACTATAAGCGTCACCCGCTCCCGAGCCCCGCACTATAAGCGTCACCCGCTCCCGAGCCCCGCACTATAAGCGTCACCCGCTCCCGAGCCCAGCACTATAAGCGTCACCCGCTCCCGAGCCCAGCACTATAAGCGTCACCCGCTCCCGAGCCCCGCACTATAAGCGTCACCCGCTCCCGAGCCCCGCACTATAAGCGTCACCCGCTCCCGAGCCCAGCACTATAAGCGTCACCCGCTCCCGAGCCCAGCACTATAAGCGTCACCCGCTCCCAAGCCCCGAACTATAAGCGTCACACGCTCCCGAGCCCAGCACTATAAGCGTCACCCGCTCCCGAGCCCCGAACTATAAGCGTCACCCGCTCCCGAGCCCAGCACTATAAGCGTCACCCGCTCCCGAGCCCCGCACTATAAGCGTCACCCAATCCCGAGCTCTGCACTATAAGCGTCACCCGCTCCCGAGCCCAGCACTATAAGCGTCAACCGCTCCTGAGCCCCGCACTATAAGCGTCACCCAATCCCGAGCCCCGCACTATAAGCGTCACCCGCTCCCGAGCCCAGCACTATAAGCGTCACCCGCTCCCGAGCCCAGCACTATAAGCGTCACCCGCTCCCGAGCCCAGCACTATAAGCGTCACCCGCTCCCGAGCCCAGCACTATAAGCGTCACCCGCTCCCGAGCCCAGCACTATAAGCGTCACCCGCTCCCGAGCCCAGCACTATAAGCGTCACCCGCTTCTGAGCCTTGCCCTATAGGCACCACACACTCCTGAGTCCTGCAGTATAAATGTCACACACTCTTGAGCGATGCACTATAAGTGTCACAAACTACTGAGTCCTGCTCTCTTAGACCCCATTCACACTATGGCATTTTGAATCGCCGCAATTCTGCCTGCGATTTTAAAACGCTCTTCTAAAATGGCAGATGGCAGAACCACGTTGCCATTCATTTTAATGGCACCTGAAAACGTGGTGTGGTTCTACCACAATTGTTGCACAATAAATCGCACTGCAGTCGCAGCAAACTGCTTCGCATGGCATGTGTCACCCAAAAGAAGTTCCTTAACCTCCTTTGGGCAACACACGTCATGTGATGCAGTTTGGAGCAATTTATTGCATGACAATCTCAATAGAACCGCAGTGCATTTTACCTGAACACGTGATTCCATGATTTGTCACTTAAGCAGAGCTGTTTTATTACACAGGATTTTTGCAAAAAAAAAAAAACTTCACACCATCAGTAGCCCCAACAGATGTTGCTGTGTTTTAGATGGTTTCTAAAATTTGTATGCCCATTATGTTTGCAGAGTAAATGGTTTTATCACTGTATTCTCTGCACCAGCTGCTGGTTGCCACACTTTCCATATATAAATCATTTTAATCGGGGCTTTTTTTTTCAAAGAGAATAGGTGCAGGTACTCCCCCCTTCTGAGTCACCCCGTTTACTCCTCTCCTCCCCCTATCCACCTCTGAACACTGTCCCTTGGTTCCAACCCCTACCCACCTCCCAGTACTGCCCCAGGCCTTTTTTAAAGCAATCCACTGAGCTGGGCAGAACCAACTCTTGAGGGAGTCTATTCCACATTTTCACAACTCTTACTGTGAAGAAACCTTTCTGTATTTGGAGATTAAATTTCTTTTCCTCCAGATGTAAAAGTGCTCCCTTGTCCTCTGTGATGACCTCAGGGTGAATAACTCTACACCGAGTTCACTATATGAACCACTAATGTATTTATACATGTTGATAATATCCCCCCTTAACCACTTCAATACTGGGCACTTATACCCCCTTCCTGCCCAGGTAAATTTTCAGCTTTCAGTGTTGTCGTACTTTGAATG